ACTGGTACTTAGCGGCTGAAAGACCAACCGGGACAAAGACTTCGTGATGAAGATTGGTGTGTACTAGTAGTAGTCGATGTGTTCCCCCTCCACCATATTCACGGTTCTGAGGTTTCAGAGACTTAATATTACTCGTATGCACTTATTAAAGTCTAAGCTAGCGCTGAGCTACTAGTAACACTACTTCAGGCCTTCCCCTTAGTGGGATCTTGTGCCAAGACACGCTAACAGAACACCGAGGCAATAATCTTCGTGACTTTCTGCAGAGGGTGCGTAGAGAGCAAGTTGTATGATCTATTAGGGGGCAGCGCCCGTAGATTCGCGTGCAAATTGGCTGTGCGATACAGCGAGATCAGCAATATTGCAGTATAAAGTGACCAGTCAAAAACAAGCAAGACAGGGATTACGTGTAGAAAAACTGGCCAATAGGCCCTCATACGGTCTGACATAATCAACTGGATCATTTTTGCGCCAGATTAGGGGATAGCGGAGACCTCCAACCTGCTCTAGAAATTAGTAACCATTCTCTCCCATCTCCATATTGAGTACTTTCCTCCTAAAATTCAATTGCTGGTTCAGCCTGTTATGGATTCCCAGGTACCTGCCGCATGGGAGTCAAGCGTTGCAAAGTTTCTGAGCTCCTTACCAGATGAACAAAGAAAGGCCTTCGAAGTACCAGCAAGTCCTGAACAGTGTTTGATTCTGATACAGCAAATCCAAGTGCGTAAGAGAGGATATGATCGTCTAGTCGTTGCTCTTGAACCTTTGATATCACCATTAAAAAGGTTTGAAGGCTCCCTGGATGTTCTGTCTCAGTCGCATACGCTTGGGTCCCCAATCTGGGGCGTTGTGCGCATTATTATTACTGTACGCTTCCGTTATTGTTGAACTGCAGCAGGTGCTAATTCTTTCTAAAGCTGACCAGCGAACGCCTAGACACTTTGCAAACATTAACAAAACTACTAGAGAAAATCGTTGATCTGCTTAAACGATTCCGAAACTATGAGAAGCTATTTCGTGAAAATGTGCTCCTGCAAAATGCCATTGGAATGTTATACTGCGATTTGCTAGATTTCTGCACTCGGGTTGTTCGTCACTATTCTCGGAGATCCTTCCGTATGTCTCATCAGCTTTAGCTTTCCGGACTGGAATCAAAAGTAATGCTCTACAGGTTCGCTTTCTGGATCCTTCGACAAGGAATTTCGGGAGGTGTCGGAAAAAGTTTGGCACCATTGGAGAGAGAGAGATGCAGTTGCCAATGCAGCCGATATACAGGAAGCGAAGGAGTTCCGCATTATGGAGAAAGCTCGCCGTCAAGGTAACCACCTGCTCCTTCAGGCTGATCTTCGAATCTTATGCAGTTAGTCGAAGATAGAGCAAAGATCAATCGATAGCTAAACCCAGCGAACACACACGACGATCAACAAAGCCATTTAGCTAAAATAATGCCAGATTCCTACAATTAGGTGATTTCAGAGCCAATACTAAGAGCCTTGCTAAGCTCATCCGGCTCATCCGCCATCATTATTCAAGGGCTTCCCAGAAGCGGCAACACAATAGTCATATCATTCCTTGTTGACTATCTGAGCACAATTCTGGACAGTAAAGTGTTGTTCTTCTTTCGTAAAGCGAACGAACCCGAGAAACGCGACGCTCTAGAGGTGCTTCGCACTCTTGCATGGGAGCTTCTTCAACTTTTTCCTGATTTCTACGACAACCTCGAACCTTGGTATTCAAAAAGTGGACGAATGATCCTGGACTCTTATTCAGAGCTTCGGCAAATATTCACCTCATTGTTTTCTCTTTGGCAGCAGACGCCCATATATTTCGTCATTGATGCCTTGGACGAATGTGCCAATCCTCAGGTTGTCTTTCGTTGCATCCAAGCTTCTTCAGCTGTGGTGAAGTGTATTATTTCCACTCGCTTTGAATCAGATATCGATTTTTGGAACAAGGGAAGCTTCTTAGGGGCTATTCAAATGCAGAAAGAAGCTGTGGTAGAATCAGTGAATCAATATGTTAGTCAGCGTCTGTCAGAAATCCAGTCTCGGCAAAGAATTAAATTTCCTGAATACTTGGTTCGGCGGCTCATCACGGAGACAGGTGGACTGTGGCTCTATGCCCGTCTATTAGTGGATGAAATCTCTCATGCTGCAAGCTTCACGGATATTGAATCCTTGCTGAACAGCATACCTCAAGGGGTCGAGGCATTGTACACAACTATACTATCGGCGCTCGGAGAACGATTATCAAAATCCCAATTACAGATGGCAAAGGAGCTGTTCCTCTGGCTTGACACTACTGATTATGTCTCTGAATCAAATCAGAGATTCAGAGGCTCAATTTATTTATGCGACAACACCTTTACTGTCCTCCTTATGTGTGCAAATAGAGGCGAACAAGTCTTCAACCCCATTAAAATGGTCCAGGATTTGTGTTTCCCACTGGTGGAGGTGCGGAAGACTCCTCAATCCACTCTCGCTATCAACGACAGCAACAATCAGGAAACAAAATTCGCAGAATTTACACATCTTACTGCTCGTCAGTACCTGCAGTGGGTAACAGAAGCAAGTCCCGAGAAGGTCCCAGCGCTATTAAAGCCCAGACGACTACAGACGCTCTATCGAGGGACAACTGCTACATGGTATTTAACTGAGTCTACCTCACTCAAAGACAAACTCGACCAGCTCCAAGACAGGCCCAAGTCGTTTGAGCTAGAAGTTTACCTAGAAATGGTTGCAGCATTGTGGGATTGCTTGAAACTGGAGTCTCTGCGGAAGGACCTGAACCAAGATGAATCACGAAAAGTGAACGAAATGCTTGAACTTCTGATAGCTTTCGTCTCCATAGAAAAGTGCCTAAGATGGATCGAAGCGTCCATTGTCGTCGATTTTAGTTGGAAATCACGAAGGCTAACAGAAAATCTCATTGAGGCCTTCTCTATAGTTCAAAATCGAGTGCCAGAATGCCCAGCACTTGAGAACTACCGAGCCGCTCGTCTAACACTCTTCAGAGACTTTGCTTGCGCCTTAAGTCACGCTCGCCCAGCATCTAAGGACGCCCTTGAAGCCTCATTTGGTCCCTTTCCAGGTTTCGATGTGTGGAAACCAAGTAATGTCGGCGCCAGAATCTCCGAGCTAGCCCAGAAATACCGCCATCTAGTTGCCGACGAGGTAAATCTGGATTGGCTGCAGAACCGGAGGACGTTGCTCTGCGAACAAGGAGAGGAAGACGCGGTCAGGCCTCAATTTCTGACCGCTCTGAACTCAGCCGAATCCTTATGCGAGACTCACGAGTGCATACAATCAACTCTCACGACTATCATTAGCCAGGAACTAGAGATACTGGATGACGAGGTGAATCCTTCCAAACCACTGGTTGACTACGGCGTCGATAGTTTGCTTGCTCTCATAATATCTGGGAGGATCCGACGCATCTTTGATGTGGAGATTGGGCCATATCGCCTGGTGCATTCCACGACTGAGGCGCTTCAGGAGTATATTCAACGTGAAAGTCCCCTGATAACAGTGCACTTGCACAACTCACTGAAAAGTGAAAATGCAGTGAAACCTTACAACGTTCTCTTCCAGTCTGTGCAAGGCGATCTGTCCTAGCTTGGCATTCTTGTTTATGACGGCCCCAGCCAGATTTCTCACATGCATCAGAGAATCAAGAGCACCCTCATATCCAGCGCCCACCACGCTCACTGCGATCACAGTACCCGACCGCCACAGCGACTATCTGACAAACATCTGGCCCATACATCCAGTGGGATTCTGACTGTCTCATCAAACTTGACCAGACATGCACCCTGGCTAATTTGACCGCCTCGGTTTTCCTCGTGAAACGCAGCTCGGACGTGTTGGCAGCCTACCGACATGAGTTGTCCAAGTCAAGCATGGTGTGTGAAGACCTAATGGGACGTCCGGTCTCTGTTCGAGGTCATCTATCCTCGGCTGACACTCTTTCTTCACTTACCGCTAACAAATAAGGCATTGTCAATCACGAAATCGGACCAGACTATGACAGTGCATACATGGTAGTTAGCAAATCAAATGGTCCAAGATGACCCAGAATACACTTCTTGCAAGATAAAAAATGACGAGCAAGGTGGTGATCTGCAAAGCTATTTATCTTAGGGTCATTTAGCCTATACATAACTTGAAGATGGTCACGATTCCACATATTTTATATGGCTTGGCGAGCTCAACACCTTTGGAACACAGACATCGTCAAGGTCCTTTCTTGATTCGCTACGGAGTAAACTAGATGCATCAAGCACTACTCGAATAGTTACATTAATCCTCAAATTCGTAAATCAGCAAGGAACGGTCTACTACTTTGGTGCATAACTCTATCTCAACTTTTGCATACAGGGGTACATAACTAATCTAGAGCTCGGTTTTCATTGCTTCTGCTCTCACCTTTCGGTCTCGGGTGTTCGGTATTTGTGTGAAATCACGGTAACCATCTAGTCATTAGCTGGCTCCACTGATAAGTTACAATTATCGGACTTGGTGTCTGTATCACAACTGTATCTCATTAGGTTTTTGTATCAAAGTAGACCTTGTAGTTCTAACCAACCATTGCAGTATTACCAGCCTATTTGTTATATTATCTCGAGAAATCGGCTCCACTGGTGGTGTTCCATGGTTGTATCAAGCCAGTTACAACGACGGCGAATACTGCGTTGATGCTCCTGCCTTACCTTCTTCGCTATGATGTGACAGGCACCTGAAAGAACTGTCTAGGCCCTTCGGAAGATCAATGGAACATGTAAGATGGTGCTTAGCGCTCCGGCAGATTCCGGAAGGACCACTAACCAGCCCGCATTTAAGGCACCAGTGGGATGCAATGGGATCCGCAATACGCCTTGAAGATGGCCTGGTGACATGCTTGAACTGGTGCAAATTTGACTTGGCTCAATGCTTTTCTTGACTGTCACCTGCCCTTGATGGATGAATCGGGTCACGTTCCTAGATAACTAAGAACGCCATCGATCAGTCCACGAAAATTATGGCATTGGCGTGGGCGTAGCGCTTCGTCCAGCATCTCCAGCAAATGCCGGCTGATGGCAAAATCCTCACAGGCTGACGCCTGAAAAGGCAGATCGAAGTGGCGGCAAGCCTTGCTTGCCAATTATTGTGTGCACGCACGACGGCATGCTTCAGTGGCTTATCAATCAATTCGGCCCAGCTATCAATAGATGTCAGAGGCAGATTTGTCGCATTACCCTCTCCATGCCTACATGGCTTGCTGGCATACACCCATTGACCGTAATCCCAGGTCACGTTTAAGTCTGCGACCCATTTTCCTCGATCGTGAACTGATACCACGGATTCCAATATGTAAATTTCCATGTCTCGCGCACTAGCCACGCCAACGTCGATTGGAACCACGGAGCCAGTGAACGAAAGATGGAGCGTTGTACTCGCAAAACAATCAATCCTTTGCGAATCGTAGTCCTCGTGGTTGATCATATTCCATACGTCTAGGTCCTGAGACTTGACCATGGGTTTATCCGGTAGAACTAAAAAGGCGACACCGGCACGCCCAACGTTTCCGGTCACCCTTTCGACCTCTGAGTGGCCTGTAAGGCTGGCTGGATCGTGTAGCAACGGCGCCGCAATGAATAAAGAGTCTACTGAAGATATCGCGACAGTATTTTTAATTCGGTGTGGCTCAACATTGAAACGACCAGACTCGAACATGCAGATACATGCGAAAGTCTCACTTCGGTCTAGCGATATTGACATAAGGTTATTGCGGGTTGCTGGTTCCAGTCCACCTGGTTCCAGGAAATCATGATCATTGGCATCATTGGTGGTTAATCTTCGCTCCGAACTGATTCTCCATTGTGCATTCTTGAGGGGTTGCCGCAGAACCCTAACATCTACCGTGGCATTCCGCAGCTTATTGTAGAGTATTGCAGCAGCTGAAAACGCTTTTAGAGACATGAGATGATCGTTGTCGTGAGTGTAAAGACTACCAATGCTAACACACAAGGCATCAACAAACGTGTCACAATTTACTTTTTTGGCCTGGAACAACTTAGGCAGACAACGCAAACCAACATCGCTCAATTGGGAGTTGTCGGCGCTGGATCTGATGTCTCGATTCTTAACGAATAACGCTGCCGTTCTTGGGTCGCCAAGCATAAACTTGAAATCAAATCCCGATTTGAGCGTACCTGACACCTCACTTGCAGGAAACTGCCAAGTAATTAATTGAGCTGAGCCCATGTATATCTGCTCATCCTCCAACCGGAAAACGCCTTCCCCAAGAGAGGAATAGTAGCTTGCCCTTACGGGATAATCTTTGATAATGGCAGCGAGTTCGACTTCTGTAAAACGATCATGCCAAATGTCCTCTAGTTCCACGAATTCATTGCTTGTTTCGTCGTAAGGCATCATGACCCCGCTCTCGATGAGACTTGAAGTGTCCAATGGTGGTTGAGAAGAGGCTCCAGTGTGTATCCAACGACGATGCCCTTGGCTTTCCTTGACCCGCTCTTCTAAATCCCGCTTGCAAGTCTCCCGAGCCAGAGGCAAAGCTGTTGTAAATTCAAAAGTGTCCTTGTTCCAGGCAGGGTAATCATGCTTGTACCGAATGAAGATCTGATGGGGTTTGTAAGGAAGCTGCTTCGCAATTTCGCGAAGCAGATGAATCCTATCCTCCACTTCAAGCATTCCCATGTAAGTTTCGGGATTAAGCATACCAAACAAAGGGCACAAAGGCCGTCCAAGGAAGGCTGAACCGTGGGTAGCCCCTAGATGAAGCAGTTTCTTGACAGTTTGCAGCTCACTGCCATTCAGCACTGCGAAATTCTTTGCAGTATTGAGCAGAAGGATCAGCCACGAGTGGCCGCCTTCAAGATGCATGATGGATTGGGCTTTTAAGTTTCCCTTTAAAGCAGATTCTTTTAGTAATTCCGAGAAACATGCCAACAATTCGAGTGAAGACTTGAGGGCCGAAGATCTCGAGATCCAGTCCTGAGTAATGACTCCTAGGACAGCAGCCATCAATTCTTCAAGCGTGATTCGGGACTTTTCAGCAGTGTCGATCGAACCTGATGCAATTACTGGCTGCCCATAGTATCGAAGATAGGCCAAAGGTAACGACCAAGTGACGCCAACGTCCTTTCCACCACTGGACATTTCCAAACCCAGTGTCAAGATGCCTCCCGGAGCAATGAGTGGATCATTATGCCGCACCTCAGCTGGGCGAGCGAGGCAAGGACCCATAGCTATCATGTCAGGATAGAGATGCCACGAAGACAAGCCTAAGAGAGTGGCCCCAGCTTCAGCTTGTTGCGGTGTTCCCTTGACTACACAATTCATTTGGTTCAAACAGCTCCTCCAAGCTTCCAAAACGCTGTCGTACACGGTTACCTTCGTATTTACTTCAGTCTTCTGGATGTTATCGACAATTAACCTAACCTGAGTTTGCTCTTTTCTTTTTGCCTCGTCCGCCACTCGAAGCCAAGCTCGAGCGCTTGCATCCCAATCCCGCAACTGAGATCGACTCAGTTCTTGTTGAGCCGCTAAAAAAGCACCAAAATCGCCAAAGTTGTTGTGCTCAATCTCCACTCCGATTTGTTCCTTTTGTTTTTGTACAAGTTCGTACCAGATGGTGGTAGCTTCTGGTCCCTCCCAGATCCTTGCAAGCATACAGGCAAGAAGATGTACCGCGATGGCGGCAGAGCCGGATGTGGCTGCGGCCCAAATGCTCGTGGCATCCGCGCCTATCCTATTAGCAAAGAAACCAAATTCCGAACTCTCCTTGGAATTGATAGCCATGGAGCGGATGATCTCGGACGCTCGAAGACCGTAGGCTTTAAGCAGCTCAGGCGTAGAGGGTATGAGGCGATCGAAAAGTGCTCCGAGCTTTCTAGCAGTTTTATGAGATGCTCCAGACTCTGCTTCCTCCCGGCGTAGACTTGAAAGAGCCTGGCCTACAGCCTGGAATTCTTTTGGAGCTTCCACCTTGTATAAGGCAAAATCAAAGTTGACATTGGCGAGAGAGGGTGCAAGCTCGAGGTAAGCAGCGGCCGCACTTGAGGTTATTCGATTCACAGAAGCCATTTTCTGTGTTTTCGAACTCTGCCACAACTTCGCTTGTCCTGGGAAGCCGTATAACCCTGTACAAGCAAGGAGCGAGGTTTCACGCAAGGCTTGTCATGAACCACAATCGCTGAGATGGGACCGGCACAGCATTAATGATGCGGAGCGGGCCTTGCCTGGTCTTGCTCGCCCGCTACTCAGCCTGATCGCCCACTACTCAGCCTGATCGCCCACTGTTGGAGCAGCGCTGATCCAGCACCAATCGGAGGGCAGGCATATTTATCAGAGCTACTTCAGCAAATTACTGTGCGTTCCATAAGTGTTGCGAATCTTGGCGTTATCCTCGAATTGCTGGCGCCGCGGGGCAGAATTCTCACTGGAGAGGCCAGCGCAAAAGACACCGATCACAGACACCAATGAGCAGAGAGCAGGGGATCCAGGGACTTCGTCCTCAGGTTTGTATTTCCTTTTTCAATACGACCTTCGGCCTGCAGACACTGACGCTACCAGCTGTAGTCTCCATCTGTGAGGAGGAGCTTGACCTGAATAGAGCACCAGTAATGGACAGGGACTGAGGATATCGAGGTCGAGTGGTACTTAGCCATCACACATCAACGCAATGTTGAACTGAGACGGCGAAATAGTGTGAAGCAGTTTTCCGCCAAGACCAAGATGATCACATCCGTTTGGGACGAACATTCTCGTGAATGGCTTGCCGCGCTGCCCCACACCATGCACCGAGAGGCCATTCCCTTGTTCGAAAGCAACATAGACGGAGTTTCTGAAGATTTACCTGCATCCCAGCTACAGTTGGTTAACCTAGGGCGTGAACGCCAAGGATCCTGATCTCGACTTCCACCAGCTTCAGACACTGAACTACGGGAGCCCCTGAACCGTGTTTTCATGCCTCTCGGCCGCCTGTTCGTCAATGCAGCGAATGGCAATCGTTTCAATGAACGTGCCCCCGAAATCGTTCCCGCCTGACAAGGTGGACCGGCTACAAGGTGTTCGTCACTAATGATCTAGGGCTTTGGATCGTCTTTGACGGGATTTTCTCGCTAGCCACGCTCCACTGTGGTACCCAGGCCCCTGCGGCCTCACGATAGATTTTGAACGCGGAAACGCCCGCCTCCCTCCTTCTTTGAGCGAACTTGAGCATGCTACGTCTGAGAACGCCACGAGATCGACGAAGACCACATACCAGACTGGCTTAATGGTGATAAATGAAGTGGAGACGTCTGAGGTGAAGAAGATCGAAGCAGGGGCGATCGCTCAGGATACCGCCCACACGGCTGGTAAAAGGAACCAAAGGTTGATGTTGGTGAAACTCAACTCACATCAGCGATCAAAGAAGAGAACGAAGACCTAGTGAAGCGGGCTACTCGAATTAGGAGCCGATGTCAACTATTCAAATAGACACGGTCAAATGCCACTCACATTAGCGGTCAGAAAGAACAACGTCGCAATAGTCATGTTACTTCTCGAGACAGACAAAGTAAATTTCAACCTTGAGATCTATGAACATGAAACGTTATTCAAATATCTCTCGGATTACAAATAGACACCGCAATCAGAAGAGTGTTAACGAGGATGCCGATTTTGCCGCTGGACTTCGTTGCCTAAGTACAGTTCCAAAGATTATGGCGTACTGGACTAAGGAATGCTCTTCATACACTATATTAGTTCAACTTAGGATTTATACGGTAAAACGCCATTTGAAGTTCAATTCTCATAAGCCAGACTATTCCGATAGTCCTGAGAGACTACCTGAGTTCAGAAATACATTTACCATGATCAAAATGCTCATATTAACAATCATAGGTGTTGATCCCATCTGCAAGGACGAGCCTAGGGAGTACAGGGATCAGCAGAATGTATATTTGCAGGTGCTGGTGCCTGGAACTTCGATCATTGTACGAGATAGGCAGATTACTTGAAAAGAGTAAAAACGAACGCCAATTTCTTCTTGCTATTTGAGCGCTTCGGCATGGCCACGTTCCAAGCATTCAAAAAGCTGCAGATATGTACAATGCTGTACGAAGAACCGTCTCTAACCACCTCTCATAGATATGTCGTAGGTGACGAAACGCGTGTAAAGGGCCACAAGCTCACGGAGACGAAGGGGCAAGCTATTACGCTTCTGGCTCACGGCTTACATCTAAGTTCAAGACAAGACCTGTTAAGACCTTCGTCAATGGCCATCCTGTTGTGGTCCGTTTTGCGAGACCATTCTTAACACAACGGAGAAAGCCATACCGTATGAATCGAAGTGACAGCATAATGAATGCATCTCAAGGTAGAGTCCAGATCCAGAAAGGGTCTAATCTCAAGAAACCTGGATGCTGTCATGGAGAGGGTTCATCCGATGGTAGTAGAAAACCTTGCCTTAGTCCCTCAGACGTGTGATATGGCTTAGTCACCTAGATGAATCCGGCACCAGGGGGTGCAGGAATTCATTTTACCACAATTTGCGCCGACATTTAGCCGAAATAGGTCATACACCTTATGTACAAAGTTACTAAATAAAATTAAGTATTCTTATCCTTATAGGTTTTCTGTACCGTAGAGTCTTATTCAGAATTAACAGGAGGACTCATGTTGCTGAATTGATCGAGTAAACTTGTGTAGGAAATAGGTACTTGATGTGTTGACTCGATTCGGCTAAATGTCGGCGCAAATTGTGGTAAAATGAATTCCTGCACCCCCTGGTGCCGGGCAGCTTTGTCTTAGTCAGCCTGCCATTGCGAGTCTGAGTGACTGAAGAAGAGGGGCACATCAACCACTCCGCCAAAGGGACAGCGCTTGTGGGTTTCGAACCACACTTGATTGATGTATCCCAACTGATCGTCTGAAAATCAAGATTAGTCAGCCTATCGAATCTACTAGGAGTAGTGACTACTACGTAGAGAATGCTTATCCCATTAGCTTTGAGTCTTACCTCCAAACCCTATCCACTTGGTAATTTACGTCACCTTAGATGAAGAACAGCTCAAAATCAAAGTACTCCCACACTTCTACCAACGTTACACCATTTGCCATCGATGGTGCATGAGGAACAGCAAATTGCTACTAGAAAATACTTTCCTTAGCATTACTTCTTTGAGCACCCTAGTCTCTTCTTGCATATAATTCTCTCCTCAGTCTCCGTATTTTGTGCAGTTCGCACCAGTACCCTCACACCCCATCCTTCCTCATAACATTCAATCCCATTCAATATGGAAGCTGCACCATATACCTGCAACTCTTGTCTGGTGGCATTTCGTACCAGTGAAGCACAGAAAGGTCACATGCGCAGTGATTGGCATAGATACAATCTGAAAAGACGCGTCGCCTCACTTCCCCCAATATCCTCCGAGACATTTACAGAGAAGGTACTCTCTGCACAGGCCAACACCAGTGCTGCTGCCGCAAAAGCCTCTTTTGAACGAATTTGTGGCACCTGTCAGAAGACATATTTTAGTGAGAATGTATACCAGGACCATTTAAGCAGCAAGAAGCATAAGTTAAGGGTATTGGCCACCACAAAAATGAAACCACCAGATGCAGAGCCTATGACAAATGCTTCGGTGTCTCCAAAGAATGCAATGGATAATACTTCACCAAATGAAAAGCGGGATCAAGAAGCGGAAGCTGAATTTGAAAAGGTTGTAGAAGGACTCAAGGACACTTCTATATCACAACCAGAAGCTCCACCAAGGAGGCCTTCACGACCACATCATTCAGCGGCCGAGCAACGAAATGAAAATCCGCTCTCGCCTGAGATGTCACGGCAGAAGCAGAAGGAGGAGGGTGAATCGGTGTCTCAACCTGAAATTGCTCTTTCCAGATGTTTGTTCTGCAATTACGACTCCCCCAACTTCAAACTGAGCATTTCACATATGGTCAAGATCCACGGATTGTTCATCCCAGAGCAGAATTACCTCACTGATCCCGAAGGCCTTGTACGATATCTTCAAGCTAAAGTCCACCAAAATCACGAATGCTTGCTCTGTCATAAGCTTAAAGGGACCAGCAGCGGAGTACAAACACATATGCGAGACAAGGGGCACTGCATGATAGCTTTTGAAACTGAAGAAGAGATGATAGAAGTTGGACAGTTTTATGATTTCTCCTCGACCTATTCCGATGATGAATCTGATGACACGGAGATGGGCCAGGCATCGGATCCGGTAACAAATGGTGGCGTGAAGCTACCTGAAGCTAAAACTAATGAGGTGGAGGATGATAGTTGGGAAACAGACTCCTCTTTTTCTTCTCTCGATTCAGCGGACTTGACTTCTGTTCCTCTCGATGATCACTCTCATCAATACTCCAAACTGGCTTTGCATCGACACCACTCTCACCATGACCCAAGACCTCATCGCAATGCCGACGGTTTCCATTCCCATGCACACCAACATGGGGTCAATGCGGTATTTCACGACGACTTCGAGCTTCACCTACCCAGTGGTCGCACTGTGGGTCATCGCAGTTACAAAAGGTACTACCGCCAGAATCTACACAGCTATCCGACAGCTGTCGAAAGGATGGAGAGGGAGCAGAAAATGCTAGAGCACGGCAACCAACATGAGAGCATGGAAGATGGTTCTGTGCATTCGTCACGTCGTAACGGGTCACAAGCTCTGATGAAACGCTCCGAAAGTGGCATGCTGGGTGTCACTGTCTCACAAAGGAGAGACGTTCGTGCAGCTGAAATTAGAGGACGACGACAAGGCGAAAAAGCAGTGAACAGGTACCAGGCCAAGCTTGAGAAGCAGAAAAATTTTCAGAAGCACTTCCGGGTAAGTCTTGCCTGAGTGCAATGCTCCTCCTTTCCTCTCTAACTAACCATTCCGTTATAGGATCCTTTACTACAATAATTCAAATTGGCGTACTTGCGTTGCATTTCTTGCTATGGCAGCCTCCACAAATGGGAAGATATTCTAAACACTGCATAAGCATCGGTGTACCTTGCGGCTGGTCACAAAATGTATAATGAGCTTGTTGATTTGTTTTGCCCGACGGTGGATAGATAATAGACCAGTTCAGAATGATCTTTTTGTTGCTGTTGTACGTAGTAAACTTCAATTCGATCTTGGCAAGGCCTGTCGGGAAACCTTCCTCAACAACATCATGATCCGGTACATATCACTCCAGACCAAACACGCCGAAGTTGTAAATCGAGGCCACTTCCATGTTCTCGCACCCGCTCTTCTCTGTGAAATGCGCATGTGCTGTTCGCTCTATGCAATCAATCAGGTAGCAAGGCGCAAACAGGCCATTTTGAGGCCTTGGTTTCAATGCTCTCGGTCCTTCACCTCGACAGTCTCCACACGATATCCCCCTCTCATAACCAGCATCCAAAGCGATGTACCAGCTTATAAGCTTCAGGCCCAGCCCAATCCAAGAGCCAAAAATGTAGCAGTCCTGGGGGGAGGCATTACTGGCCTCGTGGCCGCGTACAACCTGACAAAAGCACTTCCCAATGCCAGAGTTACACTTTTCGAAGCCAAGAAGAAGCTTGGAGGTTGGCTTGATTCCGAGCTGCTTCCTGTGGATGGTGGCGAAGTCTTGTTTGAGTGGGGCCCAAGGACACTCCGCACCGATGGTATTGGGGCGGGAAGATGTACAGCACAATTGGTACGTGCAACGGAGCAATCGTCGCAGTTGTGTGAAATTGATATGGTTGTGCAGATGGCTCAACTAGACATGGCTGATGATGTATTGCCAACATCAAGAAATTCGCCTGCGGCATTGAATCGATACATCTACTATCCTGACCATCTTGTGCGAATGCCAGGACGTTTGCCAGGTGTTAGTCTCTGGACAAGCATTGGAAGAAACCTGGGCACTGTCCTTCAGGAACCCATCTTCAAAGGTGCTATCCTAGGCCTTCTTAGGGAGCCGAGCGTCAAGGCCCTGCCCGAACACGTGCAAGACGAATCCATTGGAGATTTCGTAAGTCGACGATTCGGTGGTCACATTGCAGACAATCTCGTTTCGGCTCTTCTGCATGGCATATACGCAGGTGATATATACAATTTGAGTACCAAGACCATTTTTCCACTACTCTGGCATCTGGAGCAGATCTCCGAAGCTGGGATTATGGGCGAACTCGCAGAACAAATGTGGACCGGCGAGAGCTTACTGCACTATGATGATATAGAATTCACTCTACAATCTGATCAGATCATGAACATGTTCGAAGGCCCTGTAAAAGCAGTGGCGACCAAGTTGCAAGGATCAAGTGTGTACACATTCAAGAAGGGATTGGCACAACTTGCGGAGAAGACTGGAGCTGCTTTAGTAGGGAGCAAGAATGTCGAGATCAAGCACATGAATGCTTCACTGGCATTTGACCCACAGACAAAGAAATTTCATATCACTGACGCCGACGGCCGAGGAAACACCCTAGAAGGCAATACCAAGGATTATGACTACGTCGTCGCAACTATTCCATCCCCACAACTCAGCCAAGCGCTCGAAGTGCAGGATACCAGCAAGTCTACTTCTCGTCCCTCACCATACGTCAACATGCTCAACCGTCTCAAAACAGCCACTCCCACGGTCAACGTCATGGTCGTAAACCTCTTTTACCGCAACCCAAACCTTATCCCTGTTACTGGCTTCGGCTACCTCCTTCCCCGCTCCATTTCCATAGAACAGAACCCAGAGCGCGCTCTCGGCGTCATATTCGGTTCTGAAACCAGCCGCGGCTCTTCTGCCACACCTTCAGACCCCAATCCAGGAACCACCGGCCAAGATTCTGCTCCTGGCACAAAATTAACGGTGATGATGGGCGGGCACTGGTGGAGCTCCTGGTATCCATCTGACCTGCCAGACGAAGAAAGTGCAGTGGAAATGGCAAAGACCGTCTTAAAGCGTCATCTTGGCATCACAGAAACACCCGTCCTTGCTAAAGCCCGCATGCAGTGGAACGCAATCCCGCAGTACGAAGTTGGACATCATGAGCGCATGGCCCGAATTCACCATGATTTAAGGAGAGAGTTTGATGGCCGGTTGAAGCTGGCAGGTAGTGCATATCAAGGTGTGGGGGTCAATGACTGTATCAAGGCGGCTAGGAAGGCGAGTTTTGATATCCGAGAGGGCTTGGACGAGAGGACTGGGTTAGAGAGTTTTGGGCAGGAGACAAGGTGGGCAGTGTATAAGAGGAAGGAGAGGACTGTTTATATGCTAAACAAGGGGAAGGGGAAAGGGGGAAAGGGTTAGAGGAGGGGTGGAAGATGATGGGTGTTGTCGATTACATACCATGGGTCGCGTCCTCAGTCAAAATCAAACACTTATGTTACATCTTGCGCCCATCTTGGAGCAATCTATCTTTGTGTATGGCCAAAAGGGTTTGGTCTGTCCCCAACTCTCTACCACAAGCATCTCTATTCCTGTCTCTAGCTTTCATCTTCTGTCTATCGCCTTCTTGAGGAATCAAGAATTGGCCCAAGGTTATCGCATACTTGGGACCAAGACCCTGTTCTTCGATAATCACTTCTACATACTGAATTGGCGGCGTAGTTCGATCGATGGTTAGCAGCGTCCCCAGCTCATAGGGTTGTTTCCATTCACCAAGCCACATAATATCTCCGAATCTGCAACCAACTCTCCTGAGAACATATGTTGCTGCAGAACATCACCGTATCACGAACCGTTGGAGTCCGGCTCGGGGGCGTAATCTAGACACTTTCGGGTGCTTGAAAACTCCACGGCCTCAACCATGCTCTACGCCATTACGACTCTGAGATCCATCGATGGCTGTCTTGGGTTCACCGTCAGCGTCGTACCCGAGCTTGTCCAGATCTCGGATTAGCTCCTGGATCTTTGTCACTTTGGTAAGCTGTTCTGGCAAGAGTTGCCCGCCTCCTTCCTTCTTCTCCTTCAATTCGCGGGCTTGTCGGAGCTTCTTCTTCAGGTTTCGTACTTTTTTCTCCCTCTCCGCTGTTTCGTCTGCCTCGATCAATGTCGTTTCGTTCGTCGTTAATTTGCTAGGATCTCGCCAGTCCTGCTTGAGCTTCTCTGTTTCACTAACGTGGAGCTGCGTCTTCTGTAGCCCGTTCGTGATATCTCCGACTCCAGCATCGGGTGATTCAATTTCATCAGTAGCAGTAGTAGCAGCAGCAGCGGCCTTCTTCCTTGCAGCCTCTCTTCTTTTTGCGTTCTTGTTCTTCTCCTCGGCCCCTTTAGCTGTTGTGTTTGCTGGTTCAGCACCTGGAATTCCTCCAGTCCCGATGTTGCTGCGAGCTTCGACAATCCGGTTTCGGTATTTCTCTTGGTCTTCTGGTGGGCGGTAGCCCGGTCGGACTTTGATCTCTTTGCGGGTTGAGCCGTCTGGTCGGACGGACGAGGGAATTATGGAGTGGCCTGTTGGCAGGGTCTGGATGCCGGAGTTTGAAAGGGGAGTCGAGGGGCGATTTGGGGTGGTCGCTGATGGCATGATGGATTCTAGAGTGCGAGTGGATGCGTAAGAGAAGGATAAGTACAAGACCAAAGTTACGATGGAGGGGAGGTGCGCATTGAGACTGGGGGGACAATCCCACTCATCCGCGAATGATGGCAGTTCTTATGGATCTTGATCTCCAGTGGTGCTTGCTATGCAGCCGATGATTTCTTACAGTTGTAAGGGAGATTCTCAGGTTGTAGGGCAAATAAATTGAGGGCTTATATTGATGTGTGCCTTCCCTGGGTGCCCAGTGTGAATGTAGCTCTGCGGAGGAGAGTTCGGCTGCACCAATGGAAAGCCGACAGTTTCCGGGACATCTAGAGCTTCATATTGACTACAGTACCCAGAACACTTCCAATTGATACTCTGCAGCTTACCTATCCTCTCAATCAGCACAAGGTATTGGTCAAAGGTCAGCATCATGGCTGGCGTAAGTCTCCCCTTGTGCAAGGCCGTATTGCATTGACTGACTCCTTGTGCTTGCAGATTGCATCTGGCCTGTTTAAGTACCTCGCTCCCAATACCTAGCTTTATAAGCACAATCTGACTTCCCTATGATAGCTCGATATTTCGGAGGAATTATGTCTTCCTATCCACCGTCTTTTTGGGGGCCTTTGCGTTCGAAATGTTAGTTGCAACCAGGAAACTCTACAACATGTCCCGTCAAGTTCAGCGAGCTGACCACCTATGACAACAGAGCCTTTGACACTACAACCGACGCAATATGGAACAGGATAAATAAAGGGGTATGAATGATCTGGTTGAGCATGGTTACCTGTGCGAACATGTGCTGATTCGTGTCTACAGAGACAATGGAAGGACATCAAACACAGATACGTACAAAAACCTAGCGAGGACGACGACGACGACGACGACGATGAATGAGTGTGGTAGTAGAAGCAAGAGAGGTGTGGGGGATATTGACAACTCTAGAGGTGCGGCCACTCACCACATCGAGTAGAGGAGGTGCTCTCTGTACATAAATCAAATGGCATAAAGTGACCTAAGCATCCTGTGCACGAATCTCTGTAAGCGAGATTTAATTGGTTCTATTGGTTCTCTCTTAGTGTTTCCAGGTCACTTCACAATAGAGCTCTTATAGTTCTGTATGTGTTTGAGTGGCATCACAACTGATAGGTCATAATTCCAGTTAAACGTAGTTGGAGGAGTATTCACCCACGTGTCTACCTCCGTGTCTACCTCCGTGGCTGTCTCTCACATACCTCACTCTGCCGAATACCCATCTTCACAATTCCACAGCTTCCGGAAGACAAATCGTGTCTCTACAGGCAGTCAACGAAGTCTTCGTCTACACATGATAGCTGGCTTGAGGTAAACCTTGCCACTGCGTGGCTCCATGAGACATTCCCCCACTCAACCACTTCTGCGTTGTTGCAGGTAGGGGTAGAATACGAAACGTAATGGCGGCAGAGCTTGAGCACAAGCTGTGCAAAGCACTGAGGGATCATCCGTACAGGTTCTCACATCGTTACGATGAGAACGCGCAGCGCGCTCTATTGGAAATTCTTTTTCGATCCCTTACGAACGACAGACCTGACTACTTGTCGGCCCTCTTCCCTGCTGGATTTCCGGAGTCTTACAAACTCAAAGACGCTCAAGGAATAACACAGAGCTCAGAATACACGGAAGCCGCAAGAGGTCATCCATGTGGTCATATATTCAAGCAAGGAGAGGCCTCGTACCATTGCATGACCTGCACCAACGACGCTACCTGTGTCCTCTGCTCTCGATGTTTCGATGCTAGTGACCATGAAGGTCATCAGTTCCACATATCTGCGAGCGCGGGGAACAGTGGTTGCTGTGATTGCGGCGATCTCGAGGCATGGAAAAGACCCGTAAACTGTGCCATACACACGGCATCTGAAAAGACGAAGACGGGATATCAGCCTTCCTCTTTGCCTCCAGACTTAGTTCAGTCCATCCGCACGACTATTAGCAGAGTTCTGGATTACTTCTCTGATGTCATATCATGCTCACCTGAACAGCTCCGGCTTCCTAAGACGGAAGAAAGCATCAAGCATGATGAGAGCTTTTCACGGCTGGGCCCGCAGTGGTATGCTGGTGGTGATGAATACGAAGTAAATCCTGAATACTGTCTGATAGTGTGGAATGATGAGAAGCACACAGTGGAAGAAGTAAGAGATGTCATCAAAAGAGCTTGCAGGAAGACGACAAAATTCGGCCTCACAAAGGCCTGGGAGGCGAATGATATTGGACGATCGATATTGAGGCATTCCAGAGACCTGAAGGAGCTGATCAGAATGTCGAACATCGTTGAGAGTATCAAAGTCACCACAACCATCCGTACATCTAGAGACACTTTCAGGGAGCAAATGTGCGGCACGATCGTCGAATGGCTGTCAGACATCTCTGGATGTAGTGTTTGTGAGGACCACAATGTTCTTCGGTACACAATCTGCGAGGAAATGCTCCAACAATGGCGCGTTGGTAGCGAGGCTTACAATGCGCAGATCGGCCGAAGTGGCATCGATGATCATCAACATTCTGATACAAGGTATCGGTTTGCTACCCTACCTTTGTTGACAGAGTTGGGAATTGCTCCCGAAGTGACTGCGGATGCCGAGGATAATGAAGAGGACATGACTGAAGCTATCGGCCAGACAGAAACCGATCCAATGGAGGTAGAAGGCACATTCGATGGACGTGAGGAGGATGAAGAGGGCCGTCCAGACGTGAGATTGCTGCTGAGACAGGTGGATTTTGAAAGGTTGAATGATCGTCAACTATTGGATGCTGCTCCGCCGGCTGCTATGCCAACCCAAGACAGCGGTGGAATGGATATGGGTCCGCCGCACCAGGGAGCTGAAGAAGAGGAAGAAGAAGCAGCAGCTGAGCAGGTTCGCCAACCAGGCACTCAATACCAACAGGACACCGAAGTTTTCACACCAACCGAGTCGGACCCTCAAGATGCTGGCTTCATATCTCAAGATCTAACAGCAAACTACAACAACATCCCCCGAACGCCTTACGGCAGACGGAAGATTCTTGGTGGCGTCCAGCCAAGCCACTGGGCAGTTCGGCCGTCTGGATCAGTCGACAGATCGAATCTCCCCCTCTACGAGGATCTGACAAAAAATATTCGACTCGATTCCATGGTTCTGTTTGATATGCGAATGTGGAAGAAAACGAGAATTGATCTTCGCGATCTTTACATCAGCACAGTCGTCAACGTACCAGTCTTCAAGCGCATACTGGGTCTCCGGTTCTCTGGGCTATACACCTCGCTTTCTCAGCTCTACCTGATTGCGGACCGAGAACCAGATCATTCAATCATCAACCTATCTTTACAGATGCTGACATCGCCATCCATCACGGAGGAAGTCATCGAACGAGGCAATTTCCTAACTAATCTAATGGCTATCCTGTACACTTTCCTCACTTCCCGCCAGGTGGGCTTTCCTCAAGACGTGAGCTCGTCCGCTACCCTGGCTTTTGACACTGGGTCTGTTACCAACCGACGTTTGTACCATTTCTTCACAGACCTCAGATATTTTTTGTCTTCTGAACCCGTCCAAAGAAAAGTTCGTGAAGAGAGGCAATATCTACTTCAATTCATCGATCTTGTCAAGCTCTCACAAGGTATTTGTCCAAATTCACGAGCTGTTGGAGAACATGTGGAGTACGAAACAGACGCCTGGATTAGTGCGTCACTATTGACCAGAGAAATCAACAAGCTCTGCCGCCAGTTCTCTGAGTCTTTCTCATCTGTCAACTCAAAAGGGAAAGTTGGAGACGGTATAGCATATGTGATCTATACATCTACCTTCGCTACCATTGTCAACTCTGTGGGGTTAGAACGCAGCAGGTTCGACCAGACTGAGATCAAGGAGGTCGCTCGATTCAAGCAGCTCAAACCATTTGAGTTTGAGGACAATGCAGACCAGTACAGAGAGAAGACTCATCGCGTCATCGACTATGTGGTTGAGACAGGCGCCCTCAGTTTCCATCATGCATTACACTATACCTTGTCCTGGCTGATAGAGGCTGGCAAGAGTCTGTCTAATGCAGAAATGCGAGACGTGTTGTACAAGGCCAGCTCTGACTTTGTCAAACAGTATGGGCCTCTCAACTCGTCCGTAAAAGGCTTCTACGAGCCTGAGGATGCATTACTTGCTCTTTATGATTTCCCCCTGCGAGTCTGTGCCTGGCTTGCCCAAATGAGGGCCGGTCTGTGGGTACGGAACGGTATGAGCTTGCGTCACCAAATGTCGCAATACAAGGGCGTGAATTTCCGTGATGTAGGTTATCATCGTGATATCTTCCTTTTGCAAACTGCATTTGTGACCTGCGATCCGAGCAGATTGCTTGCCACCATGATTGACCGTTATGGTTTGGAGGCATGGATGCGGGGAAAGTACAACGTCAGAAAAACCTGTGAAGATTTGCAGAGAGTCGATATCTTGGAGGATTTTGTCAATCTGCTAATCATGATCCTCAGCGATCGCTCATCCCTCATCGCCATTGAAGACGAACCAAACCCGCTTCTGGTAGCGACCCGCAAGGACATAATTCATGCCCTATGCTTCAAGCCTTTGTCGTTCTCTGATTTGAACACCAAGCTCAATGAGAGGGTGCAAGACTACCCAGATCTGCACCGTATTTTAATGGAGATGACCACGTTCCGCGCTCCTGAAGGCTTGACCGACTCTGGAACCTTCGAGTTGAAGCCCGAATATCTGGAAGAGCTGGATCCTTACAACACAAACTATAACAAGAATCAGCGAGAGGAGGCTGAGAATATTTACAAAGACTGGATGTCTAAGAAAATTGGCAAGCCTGCTGAAGAAGTTGTGCTAGAACCAAAGCTCCGTCCAATACCAACTGGCGTGTATAGCGGCCTTGCTTCCTTCACAAGCTCACGTCTATTTGCCCAGATTGTCTTCTATGCGTTTGACTATGCCCTCGTTGCGAAGAGCATGACCCCGGATGTTCCCGCCACCCGCATCGAGTCATTGCTGCATGTTGTTCTTCAGCTCGCGTTGGTTGCAACTCTAGAGGATGACACCACTGAGGATGAGTTCACGGAAGAGTCCATGCATTCTTTCATACGCCATGCATTGACCGCTAAGGCTGTCACTCAGCCTCAAGGGCATGAGACCATCATCGAGGTCTTGCAGTCTATTTCCACCATGGAAGAATACGCTTCGTGCAGGCCGAAGATTAAGCACCTCCTTAAACTGTTCTGCCGAAAACGGACGTTTGACTTTAATCGAGCAACAGCAGGTCTCGACTTTCCCTTTGGCAGGCTAGACACCGCCTCTCCTGCAAATCTAGAGCAGGGGGTCGAAGCTAAGAAGAGACAAGCTGATGAACGTAAGGCAAGGGTTATGGCCCAAATGCAGCAGCAGCAGCAGAATTTCATGGACAATCAAGGAGTATCTGACTGGTCTGACGAAGACTTGAGTGACACCGAAACGGAAGCACCCGTGGCCATGGGTAAGAAGGTCTGGAAATATCCGACAGGTGTGTGTATTCTCTGCCAGGAAGAGACGAACCCGGGCAGACTCTACGGTACTTTTGGAATGTTCACCGAAAGCAACATCCTCCGGCAGACCAATCTTGATGATGCTGATTTGGTTCGAGAAGTGTTGAACACACCGGCCAGTCTTGATCTGTCCATCGAGAACATTCGTCCCTTTGGTGTCGCTGGTGAAAATCATGAGCAGGTCGTGCGACTTACTACAGAAGGCAATTCAATCATGACAGATCGACAAGGGCTCGGGAAAGGCTGGCCCATGGGATTTGTAAGGAGATCGCCAATATCAACAGGCTGTGGTCATCTAATGCATTTTGCATGCTTTGATCACTATTTCAAATCTGTTGCGAGGCGGCATGCACAACAAATCGCCAGACACCACCCCGAGCGAATAGAAAACAACGAATTCGTGTGTCCGTTGTGCAAAGCACTTGGAAACACTTTTCTACCTATTCTTTGGAAAGAAAAGGAGAACTGCTATCCGGGTGTGCTCCTCAATGAAGAGAGTTTGGAATCCTTTCTTGAGGCCGAAGTCTATCGCATACTTCCGATGCAACAGGCCCTTGAGCAAAGCGGCCTTGAAAATGCTCGGAATGTCCAGAAATCTTTCCCAGCTTCTGTCACAGCAGGGTTCTTTGAGACAATGAGAAAGGCGGTGTCTCTGGGTCGATTGATAAGCCCAACTACTTCAGTGCCTCCTTCAATGATAGAGTTGGCCCATGTTTTCTCCAGGCTTGGAGACACCATTAATATCAACGGCTTCAATCGTTTGCAGGTTTCTCCCTCGTCAGTACAGCATGTCTCCTACATCGACGTCTTGCTTTCTCTACTTGGGTCCTCGGTGTCGGCGGTCGAGATTGGGCAGCGTGGTGTTGCTGCCGGATCTGGATTCAACCTGCTAGAGAGAACATCTACCCAGACGCTGTCTCACCTCCGCATACTTTCAGAGACGATCAGCTCTTACATCTCGTCTGGCGAGATATCTGTTGATTCGTCTGTAGATGATCTTTCAGCAGCACAGAAACGATTATTTCGCCAGCTGTTCGTAAGATCAGCATCAGCACTTTCCACTGCCAACCACGGGAACTCCCCTAGCGCCGCTACACATGTAGGACCTCTGTTTCTCCAAGACGTCTTTGACGTATTCGTGCAATCTTGCTTGGTCCTCAGTCCAACCTTAAAAATCAGCATCCATCACATTTTGCGGCTTTGCTACCTAGCCCAAATTGTGCAGACTATTATGGCGTACATCAACCGTCCAGGACGGCTAGCAAACCTTGTTGAGGATCCCAGGACTGCGCGACCCATCTCACCTCCGGCAACACCGCCAACTGGATCTGAAGTGCAGGCGCTTTCAGCTCTTACCGAGTGGATGACTGAAATAATTTACAATGCTGGATACATGCCCAGCAGACTCGCTCCACATTGCGAGCAAGCTCTGTTTGCCTTGGTTCGGTCTTATAGCCTTACCTTTTTACGTAGAGCCACAATATTCCTGCATATTAGCCACGGTGTGGATTTTCCCGCTTCTTCTCACCACGAACTACCCGAGATCGATCGGCTCTCACGCCTGCTCAATCTCCCTAGTCTATATGACATAGTCTCGGATTTTCAGCCCTCTTCCGGAAAACGTTCCACCAAAGACCAAGTCTCGGGCTGGATCCTCACCTTCGCAAGACACCAACAGAGCAAACAAGTTGGAGAAGGCAGCTACATCCCTCTTCATCCGTCAAGAGGCTCCGGAGATCCTGCAAAGGGACATTTGGTCATAGACCTCTCTCGCAATATAACTTTACCTCACCCAGCACCATTCGAGCTTATCGGCCTACCAAAGTACTTTGATGTCCTCATGGAGGAGGCAAACCGCAGAAAGTGTCCATCGACCGGCAAAGATCTTACAGACCCAGCGCTATGCTTATTCTGCGGGGCGATCTTCTGCAGTCAAGCGGTCTGCTGTATGAAGAACAAGATCGGTCCAGCCAATCTCCATGTTGAGAAGTATGTCCTTGTCCTGACCCGGCTTTCTCCTTTTCCCCATCCTGAAACCCCTATAGCATACTAACTCATCCTCTCTCGCTATTTAGATGTTCCTCTCCAATCGGAATCTTCCTCTCCATACGCAAATGCACCATCCTCCTCCTCCACATCGTTCGTAAACCCATCCCACTTCCCCCATCCTCCTCTAATATCCCCGCCTCGGCCCCAAAACCCGCCACCTTGACCTCATCCTCTTCATCATCCGCCTCTCCACCAAACCCATCATCCCTTCATTTTGGCGCCCCGAAATCCAACGGCGGCTGGTTCCATGCCCCGTATCTGACGAAACATGGTGAAGTGGATCCGGGACTGAGGCAGCGACATCAGTTGGTGTTGAATCAGAAACGGTATGATCGCCTGTTGAGGGAAGTGTGGTTGATGCTGAATGGAAATGTGTGGAGTACGGTAGCGAGGAAGTTGGAGGGGGAGATCAATGGCGGGGGTTGGGAGAGTATCTGAGTCCACGAACTGAAGATGGGAATAGGGATAGAGTGGTTTGAAGCGGTGGCAAATTATAGGGCAGGGAGATGAGGGCATTGACTGGGCTCTGCAACGATGGGGAGGGTAGCGCACTGAATACACAAGGGTTCTATCATAGGGACAGATGCTGTCGTTCAGAATGTGGAAACGAGTCCCTTTCTCTCTAGCCCTGCACAGGGCAGGCATCAGGCAGGCAGGCATGTGGAGTTTAGAGTATATCGATCGGCATCAAGTCCTTGGCTCTGTACAGCGGACCATTGAGGCCAAACGGCCAATTCAAATCGTCATCTCCACAATAGGGCCACGGATTGCCCCACCGAATTTGTATGGGGCATTCCATAAACTTGTTCGTTGTTGGGCGATATCTAGACATGAAGACTTGCTGTTGCTACTAAACAACTGAATTACCGTATTAGCTCTAAGATAATCATCTTGGATGTTGGATAAAGACTGAAGTAGATCTGTTATATAATTTAATTTTAATCTTTTATATTCCCTGTATCACTAAATGGCTGTTCATTCTCGTTAGGATTAGCATTCCCGCAATCCAACGTAATAATTCTGTTGCAATATTTAAGATTATTTGATTTTTGATTTTCTTCCTGCCTGAGAGCACTATCAGCTCAATAAGTCAATTGGGTGAGTGTGGGTTACCAGAAATCTACCCGGTAAAAGCCCCACACTGCCAAGGCTACAGCAGCTCTCTACGCTAAATCGCGGGAAGATTAATCCTAATAAAGAAGCTGATTCTGTGCAGTGGTACAGTGGATAAGCTTTAGCGTCGTGTAATAAGCTTGGCAAGTAAGTCCTGGATCGAACATAAATCCCACCTCAAACTTGCTCAGGTTTGCAGCCTTTGTCCTCTTCCTCCAATAATAGGGTCGACGGTTACTCTCGTCGTATCTGACCTGCATGATATTGGACAGGAAGCAAGCGAGCACATTGAAAGGGCTAGAACTAAAGGAGGAGGTTTGTGAGGGCTAACCAATAGAAAGCCGTTGGGAGATGTGGAGAACCTTATCGTTTCAGCATTGGTTGCCCTACTGCGTGTTGACGCAAGGGGTAGTGTAAATCTCTAAGCCAATTACATGCATAAAATATCCGGAATGGCGTCAATACGAACACGAACACGAACGCTACGACTTCAAGTTCTGCCCTGAGAAGTGCTCTATGATATATATGCGAGGACCCCATCGAGTATCTCGGTGTGCGCTTAGGACGTGCATCGGCGATAACACCTAAAGTAGGCAGGCATACATTGTCAGAGTTGCGGGGTTTTGGTGCCTATGCGGCTATTTCCTCTGAACTTTGTATTTTAGATTTTTAGCAGTTCTATACCTCCAATTGACTCTTTGAGCTGATCGTGCTCCACAGAGTCAACAACATGTTTAGGGCTCAGAGAGTATGCGGCCACATGACCTGACACCACTATAGATGGATATCGAAAAGATTAGTCGGAAATGTCCTTGGCTCAGACATTCACAAGTTGTGCTGATCGAGTAATCCTCCGAACCGACCGAGGCGATACGAGTGTTCCACAGAGCTAGAGAGACAGAACAGACCAGTCAATCGTATCTGCGTGGCCGTCGGATTCGCTTATTTCCTATGCAAGACGAGATTGTAGCCAACAGAACGTACTGCTGATACCGCCTACAGTGATCAGGCGACATCATATTTCAACAGGGACTTGACATCAGCTGATATGGACCAGGCCGGACTCTGTGTATATAATGGCGAGCATTTCATCAGAAGCACATACCTTTGTTTCTCGTCATTAGCACTATCCACAAGATCACGAATATCTCCTACTCAAAAGCTTGCTTGAGTAAGCGAATCATCCCATCCGTAAGCACGATCCCCCTCAAGGGCCCGGCCCCTCAAGTTCAGATTCTCACAGGACCAGTAGTCTTGCAAGTCGCGACTTGAGCCTCCTTAATCAGAATGCGCTTCGCAGCCTTTCTCGCTCTTGCTCCCTTGCTGGTGGCAGCGGTCGCGCAGCCTGCCACGGGCACCGTAGCCGTCGCGATGGTAGGCGACCAAATCGAAGCGCGTGAGCCAGCCTCACCGGTCGAGTTAGCCCCACGCGCGTGCCGTACAAACGGTTGCAAGTGCGTCAAGGGGCTGCCCCAAGGCCGGTACTGCGGCAACTGCGTCTTGACGAAGGACTTCAAAACCTGGGTCATCAGCAGTAAGCGGGTAAATGATCACGTCTTCGAGTGCAATCCCCAGGGGGGCTGCTGCACTTACGGGTATGCGAAGGACTGTGGTGGAGCAAAGGCCCGATGCGGTTAATAGCAGAGCCGCGTCGCAACTTTTTCCTCAGGCAAGGGGAGGAGAAAGCAGATAAGCGAAGGAGGCTCATAGAGCCGATGCCTAGGGCAGGTCATTCGTTTACGCAAAAGTTCTGCCAGCACTTGAAGACTGATGAAAGTCATCTGATTTAGTACGTTTGTTGTTTGGACAATTAGGAAACGCTCTGGGATAAAGCGGTAATAAGTCTTGGGACCCGAATAAGTTGATCCTTTACCTGCTCCAGAAAGATAATACGATATGTCAGCAACTACTTCAAGAACTCTGTTGATACTTAGGCTTGACTCCAGCAAGAACGCGGCTTCATCGGGGTAAAAGCTTCCCTTTCCACCTAAACATGACTGAACCACCACAGCAACCACTTTAAATTCATAGGGATAAGTATGATGAGAAAGCGATCTCAGTCTCATTTTAGAATTTCATTTCCTTGATCGAGTCAGGAATGAAGATTTAAACCAACTGCCCATGCGGTGTGACATTGAGAATCATGGTATCTCCCCGTAGTCTATATAAATATAGAAATGAGATGTCAGACAAGTAGCTGGCTAGCAGCCAATTGTGGCCGCGGTCTTTTTTGGCCATGTTGAGACCGCAGAACTATCACAGCCTGGTGGCTCAAAAGGTGCACAGTCGACAAGTCACCATCTGCATTAACCACAGTCAGCTTCGAACGGGGATATCTATGAGACCATTGATCAGGTCTGCACGCCGTCAGAAAAGATTGATGGCCAACTGGACGTCGAAGAATGGGGTCATACACGGGTCAATCGGAGGCCAATGGCGTCCGTTGAGTGTTAAAGACGTCTTCTCACGTGAATACTAGTTCTGCGAATAACAAGAGATAATTTCTGTATCGATCTCGCTCGCACTGCAAACAAGCTCATGGAATCCTCATACAAATCTGTTGGTACAATCCATGGCCCCGTTGTGCAGATGAAGATTTGCAACCGTCCGCCAAGCTCTGTTCAAATTCGTGCCAGAAACTGAGATGGGGATTTTCTATTCGTTCATTTCATTCCATACTACACTGGGTAGAGTGTAGACTAGCTTTACCGCAGAGCTCCTTACTATACAGAACAAATCTTGCCAGATCAAGGACATCGTCAGCCGTATGACACAATACATTTGCCGTTCTTTACTTACCAGCCGTCGTCGCCTTCGACTAGTCACATACAGTGTTCAAATTCCCACATCCAGCTATATCTCCTCCCTCAAGAGAACCCGGGACGCACATATGTATATGTTCGGAAAAACTTGGATATTGAATGTAGCCTGTTCATACAAACCCCCCCATCTGATTCAACAGAAGAAAGGAAGTAAACGCTTGAAAAATAGCACCACCCTCCAGCTTCAGCCGGCGCAGACCAGTTTCCATTCAACCCACTACAACACACCCCACTACCTTTGAGGTATCGTAGTTAAGTTTTCGATCAGTCAGAATCCATCGCCTCAGCCAACCAATCCGGTTCGGCGTCTTCGTCTTCCGGGTCGTGAGAGAGGAGGGAACCTTGCTCTAGGGAGGAGGAGGAAGAGGAGGGTGGGATGCGGTTCTCTGCTACTTGCTCGGCATTTGGCGAACTTACCGCGATTTGTGGTTGTTGAGCTGGTGATGATGGGACTGGGCCGTGAATTTCGTTTTGGGTGAGAACCGGGGTCCGGTGCGGGAGATTGTTAGAAGGGGTGGTGGCGGGGGTGGTTATGGTGTTATTGGCCGTGTTCGCGACTACGGCTTTATGCGCAGTGGAGGCGGAGGAGGCGGTAGTAGGTATGGTGGGAAGAGATTCATAGACTAGCGAGGGAGGTGGTGCTCCGTCGGGTGCGGTGGGTGACGAGTCTTCCGCTGTAAATCCTCCTCCTCCTTGGTGCCCATCCTCTGGGATGTTAATATTTTCCCGTTCGGCAAAAAAGCCCCCACCCATCATTGGTTCTTCTGCTGGGAGTCTTGCTGCTAGCCGTGAAGGCTTTCGTTGCTGCTGTTGTGATCTAGGAAGCTTGTGTGGCGATTCGTGAACTATGATTGTAATGTCGATATCTGGCGAGTCTGGATAGAAGATGACTTGCTCATTCAAACCAGTTTCGACATCTGGGCTCTCTGGTAATGTGGCCGGTCCTTTAGTCTGCTCCGGAAAGAAACCGCCTCCTTCGTCTTCGTCATGGTCACCATCATCGTGATATGTCTTGTCCTCTATGTCTTCATCGTGATCTCCACCTTGACTACCTCCTTCTCCATACTTCATACTAACTCTTTCGCGAATTCTCAAAGCAGTCAAAAATTTCTTCCACATCTGTAGTGCGATTGAGCTTCTCTTCTCGCTGTTCATTCGTACCCTTTCGTATGCAAGCGCTTCCAGTACCTCGATAAGTGCCTCACGATACTCTGTTGCTGCCACTATACCTTTCATTATCGCTGTCCCTTGTCTGCCTCTGAATTCAAAACCGGTCACTGCATCCGCATAATCAATTCCGAGGATCCTAGCTGCTCTGGCTGCATCCGGATGCTCGACGTGGATCCCTCCAGCTGGGATCATACTCGGCACGTAAACATCCAGGTTACCGTAGGCATTCCTCGGTATCTTGCCATTCACCACGGTTGGCGGCACATATAGCTCTGTCTGGAACGCTGCATAAAGCAATGCTCCTTCTTCTTGCCCATCCTGCTCATCCACAGGTGTAACTCTCCTCTTCGTTGGGATCACTCTCTTTAGAGGCTGCTCTCCAACCTTGATATCCCGACCAAGTCTATACCATTGATCCGCCGTCTTCACAACCAATACATCCCTCCTTCGAAAGACGGGCTCAAGCCTGCCATCTTTGCTCAGGCCGACAGTGACCTTTCCTATTTCCTTCTTCGGATGGATCACCTCGTTCCGCCTAAGGTGCCTCTCCAAAGCATAATGCGGGTGATTCTTGAAATCCTGCACATTCTTCGGCATTTGTTCACTCTCCTCCCTTGCCATCAACTCCGCGTTTTCGATCTCGTCTCGATCTTCCGGGAATGGGTTCTCGAAAAAAGACATTGTCTCCTTCCACCAAAGGTCTCCTCCTTTGGTTGATTCGACACGATTTCTCCTGGTTTTGCCATTGTAGAACTGAGTGTAACGACGCGTGACATCTTTAGCTGAGGCATCGTCCTCAAATACTATGACATAGGACATGCTGTTAAGTGAGTCATTGGCGGGTGGTTCGAAACCTGTCTTGGGTTTGTTGATTGTGCTGCGAACGAGTGGGTCGACGGGGATCCATTTCTGAAGTGATTCGTCAAAAATTTCAACCCAGAAGACAGGATATGGTGAGTCTCTTATCCTTTTTGCTGGCTTCTTGACGGCGGGAACAGGCGAAGATTCCTCAGGTCCAGCGCCATAAAGACGCCATCTCGGATCAGAAATTGTAGGGCTCTCAGCATTTTGATTCAATTGACGCTGTCTTCCGAGGTTTGAAGCCATAATGTATTTTGCTTTGGGTTTGACTGGCGTTGTGCCCCTTGCTACGCCAGAAAACGGCAGAGGTTGTAATGAACAGACGAGTCTCGTCTCAACCGCGACTGACCTCAGTAATGCGCAGAATAGCTGAGCTCCAAGATCTCGAGAGCCAGATCTTGTTCTTGCAGCATCCCGGAAGTCATCATAGTCAATTGGATCAGGATAATCGTCTACATTTTTGAGATCATCTGGATCGTCCGTCCAGTAAGCTCTTCTCATGCCCTGCTCGGTAATTTTCCATTCACTTCGCCATATCTTACTTACCTCATCAATGGCTACATTGAACGAATGAGTTCGCTGATACTGCGGTTGGCCGGCATCCAGGTGAAACAGCTTGACCAGCTTCCGCGGTATCAAAGGTTTCAGGATAGACTGTACTTGCTCGTCATTACACCAGTGACTTCGGCGCTGTAGGTGAGCTAGCAGACAGAGGACATGCCATTTATGCACATCAAGACGTATCCTTCTTTCCACCGCAGTAGCAGGCTTGCGTCGATGTACTGAAGAGGTAGCATCTGGGTCAAGTTTCTTGTTAAGATCTAGTTGAAGAGGCTCGTCGGCTCTGTCTTGACCTTGATAGACTTCGACATCAGCCTCAAGGTCCACTTCCTCGAAATCATCCTCTGACTCATCACCAGAGCCACGAAAGTCGTCAAAAACAGTCTGCCTTTGTGGTGTAGATTGAGCCAATACGCTTTCATCACCAGTTTCGACACCATCTATGGGTCCGCTTGGCAAATCTTGCGCAGCGAGCTCGGAATCGGTCACCTGAGATGAGCCGTCTTCCAGTTTCCTCCGTTTAACAACTTTAGTCTGCAGGTCCACTTTTGGAAAAGGGTTTCTGGCAGCCTCGAGGAGCATCTCTTGATAGATCTCGGGGACGTCACCCTGTTCTTGGGTCGTGTGTTTGTTTGACCGTCGAGACGGCCTACCTCGACCACCGCCACGGGTCGCCATTCGTTTCGGTCCCATTGCAACGATTGATGAGCATCCGTGTATGGCACCATCATTGAGCTTTCGATCAGCACTTGTGTTCTTGATGTTGATGAAAATATCGGTTGGAACGACAAGGGATACACAAAGTTGATGACGTAATGGCTCCGGTGGAATATACTTTAGTATTAAAGGATAAGCAAAATTGAACACCAAGCAAGGACACCCAGGCTTCGTTTACAGGCTCCCTGGAACATCCACCAAATCTTACAATTGGCGAGAAACGAGAATCATGCAGGAGAATTTCCAGGCGAGCTCGGAATCGACTGTGCTTATAACCGGTGAGGCAAATTAGCAACATCTGTTATTGATGCTCCCGTCGTCCCTATGTCATTGGCCATGAAACCTACAAACATTGGTTAGAAGCAGACCAAGCTGGTCTTGCATCCGGGGCTCGCCTTACGCAGGTAGGTATCTCTTGTTTGAGTATTGACCAGAATCAGCATGTGGACAATTGTTGGCGCAATCTTTACTGTCGACTTGTACTGCACGATCTAGTCGGGTGTGAGCTCTCTTAGCACTGCTCCTTCCACCATACAAAACATTCAACGTCGCCTGACACACAATCACATGCCATACCTTCCATTTCTAGAAACTTGGCCAGTGTTGGCACTTGAAAACAAGTCTGCGGAACGGATAGTGTCGTATGCACAATTCATGGAACTAAATGTCAGGTCGTCAACGAAGCTACAACGAGCAAAATGGATGGCAAGAGGTACGAGCTATACTTGAACGCCAGTTCCATAACGGAAGTGCTGAGGTACGAATCTATCGCCCTCAGCACATTATGCAGGCTATGGAGCGTCTGGTGAACCTAGCGTCCTCAAGATTTGAGGGCAGGAACAATTTTCAAAGATCTCGTCTCTGCCATTCGTCTCAACTCGGAACTGCTTGGTCAACGCCCAACAAATGAATAACGTTAGTTGGGAGCGGCATTTCAAGTCACGATATGGCACAAGGATTTTACGACCATGGCCATAAAGTGACAATGATTGCAGCTGGTACATGCAAGGCCAAGGCTTGTATTTAGAAGTTGGCCAACTACCGAAGAAGCCGACATTATGACTCATAGCGTCCCTCTTCCCTTGCTGACGAGACGGGAGATTGAAAAGACTGAGAAATTTGAGTTAAAAAAGCAAGGAGTTCTTCGAAGGCCTGAAAAAAGACTGGTTTTGGAGTTGACAAGGCGAGCTCAAGTCGATCTGGAGGCGCTCAGGACATCCGGGCTTTTTGGTTTGCTGTTGGTGACCTGGCTCATTATAGATCTTACTCCAGAATGCTGGCGCTACAAATAAAGGTGATTGAGGAAGACACCGTGCGTTATGAAGACCTGTCAAAACTTAGGTTCGATGACATTCTGTTTGACCTAGACGAGCACGTCGTTTACTTCACAGAACGTGAGGGAATCACTCTTTAAAGCCAGATATTCAATTTCGGGATTGAAGGGGGATGCTGCTGGTTCTCAACGGAAACGCAAGTCTGGAGGATATGAAAGTAACGCAGTACTAGTAGTGGTTGAGACCTATTACTTCTTTTAGAGAGACTGCTCATATTTTTCCCGCAGTGTAAGGGGCATCTTGGTCTAAGGAGTTAATTTAGCTACTATTACAGTGCCCCACCAAAAGTATCCGGACGAAACGCGCTTTTTTTTCTACACGCGTTTTTTGGCACCTTTTTCAATTAATCACCATGAATCAACGCAACGCTTTGGCGCCATTAGAAATCAATAGGAGTTATGGCCAGGAGCTAACTCCATATCAACGCGGTCAAATTGCAGCCTACAGAGATGTAGGCCTGTTAATGAGCAAAATTGGCAAAAAAGTAGATTACACTAAATCTATTGTTTTTGATACCCTTGTACAAAATCCCCTTTGCAACGAAGGCAAAGGCTTATTACGTTCTGGTCAACCCTTTATATTAAATCGCGTTCAAAAACGAAATATTCTATGTATTATTTGAGCTAATCTAAGAATTACTTATGCAGCTCTTCAACTTAAAGCTAGGGTGACTGTTTATTATCCCTTGTGAGCCCGAATATCCCTG